AGTCTGGATGGCGGCGTAGTTGGCTCGGCGGATTTGCTTTCGGCTGACCGGGATCCGATGGGCTAACTGGCGGCGACGTCGGGAAACAGTTTTCCAGTTGTGTGGAAATGTCCTGGAGGCGTGGAGGTCCAGAAGCGACAGGGCTTGCTCCGGTGTCATGATGCCAGACTGCAACCCTCGGGCAAATGCCAGAAGGTCAACACTAGCGAGCGAACGGTCAGCATGGGATTCCAAGAGTGACGCGGTGCAATCCACGGTTTGTTTAAACCAGACGCTGTAGTCATCGGCTTCTGATGAGTTGGCCGTCGTCTGACCGATAGTTTGCTCAGGTTCACCAGATGATGATTCGTCCTGTTGTGCTTGCCAGTTAAGCACCCGTAACCTGGTTTTGATGCTGATAGCCGATCGGCCAGGAAAATACTGCTCCAATCTCGTGAACAGCTCGGTTTGCGTGCCGCAAGATGGATATAAATTGTTAGCCAGGCGTAAGAGCGATTGTGACTCTTGCTGGGACCAGCGGGTACCGGAATACTTCACTCGGCCAAGCTTATCTGCATTATGCTGGGTGGGGTGTGCGTGCCGGCGGTGTTGACTCAGGCCAATCTTCGTCGGAAAAAGGCGGGTACAATCAGCGCAGGCCAATTGGGCGTCTGTGTTCGTACCAACACTTTCATTGTCGTGAACTCGATGATGGGCTACCAAGCCAGATTTCGATTTGCAGCACTTGCCACATTCCTCACACGTGAACCCAACGAGTCTCTCCTGTGAACTGGTTGGAACTGGTGCGGAGGCGCCAGATGATTCGTAGTATACATTGTCGAAAGTAACCAGCACATCGAAACCAAACGGGGGGTTGGCCATGCACCACGAGGAGGTGGTTCAGCTCGCTGACCAGGTAGTTCTTGACCAGATAGTTCTCGCTTAACTCTGCCCGAGTTTACGGCAAGGGCCATATTGTCCCATAAACAAGCTGCTACAGTGAATAAATTGATTTGAAGACCAATGAGCAGGGCCAACAAAGCTGCAAGAACCAACTTAATGTACCATATCGGTTGAACCAGTCGGAGTAAATAGTATACCGGTAATAGTGGAGGCATACTTCCGCAGGGAAATTGATGCAGGTGGCAAAGGACAAAATCCACCATTCCTCAATTCCAAGCATAAATTTCAAGAAGTGCAAAGTTCCGTTTGAGACCACTGGGATCGTGTATGTGGAAATATGAGGTTGTGAGGAAGTTCTTCAGATGCATGGTACTATTCAACGGATTTAGTCATTTGGCATATGGGATCAGATATTGTCTGTGCACCACACCGGGTAAAGTAACGCCACTTCAACGAGAGCACATAGCCCGTGTCTTTCATCAAACTGAGGAACAGAAGTGTAGGATCCGTTGTGGAGGCCAACCAACAAAAACCACGGTGGGATTGTCACAAAGTCACTGGAAAATCAATCAATCATGACACAGGTGAATCACAGATCGAGAGAAATGGAAGAAAAACGAATACAGATAACCGAAAAGCGGTAGGAGTAAGAAATTTTCGGCGAGCCCTTCTGCTCACAATATACTGATCGGTTGGTGCCGACTATTGATTAAACGATTGCAATTAAATTGAAAAGCTGAGCGCATATGATAACCGATCTCGTAAACCGCGGCGCCGATATTCTTCTGAACGATGAAGAGAATACATTACCATTATTGAGAAAAAAATTGGAATCTCCAAAAATGTCACGTTCGTGGGGGTTTCTCCTCTTAAAAAGGATCTTTATTGTCCTATTATTATCGCGCAATGTATAGTACTCATCAGGTAGATCATCTATTAGGGATGGTGCTGTACTTCTTAGTGAGTAGGTGAGTTATACCGGCAGAAGAAACAGAGTCAGCATCTCCAAAATTTCTCTCCGCGCAGGTAGAAAGACTACAAATACAGGTTTCCACAGTACCGAAAACAAAATACAACGATCAAGGTGAATAAATTCATCTGATTTGCAAAACACCTAAACCTTAAGTCCTGTCCTCCATCTACCCAAACAACAGAACAAAATCTTCGGAGGAAACTTGAAGGAGTGATCAACTAGTGTCTTAAAGGGGAAAAGCGAGGTTCCAAATCCAATTTCAGTTGACACTGATTTTCCTCTAACCCATGAATCGTGAACGCAAGCTGCCCGCCTCAGCCAGTAAAGACTTGTCCAACATTTAGCGTTGATTGAATCTGAACTGAACCCAACGTACGTCAGGTAGGACGACACAGTGCAGTGCCCGCGGAGGCATTTGATGACTGGGGGGTTGGAACTGGAGTACTGTTATGGAGAGCAATCACTTTGTGGGTTTCGTTCGGTAGACAGGATGTCGTGGGAAAATATTCCCTCACAGGGACACAAGAAAAGTTTCTCGAAATTTGGATTTGTGTCGGTTGACAGTTGATACAACCTGTAACATGTAAAAACCAATGATTTTGGTATGATTGTCTTGATGGTATAAGAGACTTTAGTAAATCTAACAGGGTATGATATTGACCGGATTGGATGAAATGGACTAAATAACCTTAACAAATATCAGGACAGTGGTGAAGGTATGTCAAGAATGAACTCAAAATGGAATAAAATGAATAACGGTAATTGTTTGTTGCCTCTTGAATTTTGTCCAGTACAGATTGCAAGATCGACAACTGCGCAAAATTTTGGACGCTTGAGAGAATTTTATGATTGTCTTCATGTTTACTAGCAATGTTTCACATATTTTGCGGTTTGGATCGTTAGGTGACTGGCTGTGTACTTCTACCCACTGTTTACTGTCAAGTACCTCCATTTCAGAAGATAACGGGCAAAATTTCCTCATAAATGTTACCCTTGTGCAATGCTGTACATTTCCGATGAAGGTGAATTTACGAATTCAAAGATTGAGGCCTTTGTCCCAATATTTATAGGTAGGTTTTGTTTTTATCGTTTATCACTTTCAGTTCACCTCCAGAGCGAAAATAGGTGTAGCACCTCTCTTTAAGTTCTCAGTGTTGGGCAGTGAGTAGGCGAGACGATTTACTTAAAAATCATCTAAAGATTATTTTCAACTGGATCCTTGATGTAGACGGTCAATTGTAGAAGAAAGGCTACTCCACGCATCTACTACTCGAAATGGATGCAAATGCTATCCAATAAGACTGCGCGCTCTAAACCTGAAGAGCTTTTTAACACGTCTTCACCGTGTATTAGTGGGGTAAACTTGAACCAGTCCATAGGCCAAACCTTGTTTAAACAAGGCTTAAGTAAGAATCGTGTCCCCTCGAAAGCGACGATAGTCTAGGGGGATCTCCAGACACGTCAACGGATTTGAGATCGACAACCCTCTTCGTAGCAGGTCGTTAAACACACCAAAAGAGGGCTTTTTCCTTCGTGTGCCCTGAATTGACACGCTGGCTGACGTATTCAGGAAGCGATCTGACGAAGTCCAATATAACTTCTGAAAGTCCATGAGAGTAGTGCGGAGAACGAAACATCAGCGTCGTTGGCTTCGGCTTCTAAGCTAACGCTGACAATACACCGTGAAATGAAATACACAGTGGAAACCTAAAAGATTTCTTACTGTGTGTAAAACTCATGAAGTCCGCGAAATAAGCCCTGCATTGGGATCTTGGTTTCAAAAATTGAGGTAAGTTTTTGGAGTGAACTTACTGTCGTCATCTCGAGTCACGAGTGCGCTGAATTACGGTTATTCACTGTGTTGCGAACAACACTTCCCAATTCTTGATTTATTTACCACCTGACCAATCCCGCCTATGTTTACGACTGATGTACATGCTTCATCCTACACGAATGAGTTTGACCTATGGAGAGTTGTGAGACCGCTTGAGAGCATATTCATTACATTTAGTCCGGAGCATTTCACTCCATGACCTAATTGCAATAGGCTCGTTCATTTTTGTGCTGCAAGCTATAAATCTGAGCTCTTACTGGAGCCCACAATGGGGTACCTCAGTATTTTCTGTCGCAACCGGTCTACGGACTTCTCTGTTTCGGTATGCAAGATACGCTATTCTCCCCACCTCACACGCAAAGTCACCTGTTCCACTCACTTCTGTCTGCGTTCAGACCACCTGATTAAATCAGGGTCGATGGTCTGCCCTTGAAGCACATTTCAGTAAAGGTTAGTTCCCGTGTAAAGGCTCCACGGACGTTTAACGAGTACGCGTACAAAGGAACCAGCATGTATCCTTCGCAATGCTCTCTGCCCAAATGCGCGTAGACGAACATGGGTAAAATTTAGAAATATTAAACCCACACTGTGTGGCATGCCAGTGCACACGAGCCTCTAATTTGCTCCGGGCACATCTGCTTGAAGCCCGACTGCATTCCTGTCCCGTTTTGTACAAGCTGTTCTTCAAAAAAGATTACACATATTTTTCTGTGTTTTATTGCAAGTTAAAGGATTAATCGATAGCTAAATTTATTCACTGTGCTGATCAGCATCTCAAGACTGAACGGTTTATTCTTCAACTACTGGCAAGGAGGGTGAAAGACCGAATGTCCCTAAGGATTTGTGAAGTGATTCCCAGCGGAGATGAATAAACCGCACAATGATTCTCTGCTTTCAGGAAGGGATCCACTTCACCCACAAAACGAAATCTCCGTTGGTAATTCTCCCAATGTTGACCAAAGACTAACAGTTCCTTGATTATCTCTAGTTGCCTGATAGCGAAATTTCCGCCGCGGAATCAAAGTGTAAGCGGAAATTGAGTGCGATAGAGTTAAAACGCAAAAGCGACCATTGGACCAACCTGAAATTTGTTCATTACGTTTGTGTTATAGAAGACCTTACTTACACTAGCCTAATAGAGACTACTTCTATGCTGAAGGCTCCGTTCAAAACTCACTTGGACGGAACAAACCGACTAGACGATGCATGTGCTAGCTTCCTCAGTCGAACAAAGGAAGTTATGGGATGTGAAACGAGCGGAGGGCCAATCTACAACAGGCACGAATCTACAGTGCTCTGATTGTACGACTGAAAGGCAGGTAGGCAAAACTAAAACTAATTGCCAAATAACGTGGAGACAAGTAGACTCACGGGAAGCGCACGAGACACACAAATAAAGCCGATTAGTCTTAATCAAATGCAGGGTGATAATGACTAAAATCCTGTGTGATTACAGAGTAACGATAGGCCACAGATGTACAACGGCAGAGCTTTGGCTACTGGTTACTGCCTGGTGAGTGTTGTTCACGCTAAAATCAATCAGCTGGTTTGTTCCTCCTCACCAGCCTTAAATGACCTTACAAGTATATTCTGACTGGTTGCCGCCACACATTGAGGATGCCTGCAAGGTTTCGTCTGACCAGCTTACAGTCACTTGCCAGACAGTCGGCCTCCATTTTATATCGCGCACAATCCGGGTTATAGCGACAAGAAATACAGATGAAATATAATACAGCAGTGTAAAATACAACAAAGTAAAACAATACAGTCACAATACGGATGGAAAGCTCGTAAACAAAACAGAGGCCCTCAACGTCCTCCATAAGTCTGGAAAATCGGGCATCCACGGACGACATCAAGAACTATTCACACTCACTATCCACAATCATAAGGTTGACGGAAACTCGGAGAATGCGTCTACCTGATGAGCTCCAAGATGGGCGAAACCGGTCGTGGGCTGTCGAAGAGATTTCAGCAACCTTGTGAGTAGTTTCCTTTATGAAAACTGTGAAAATAGTTTATGTACTCAGACAAACGGTGAGGCTAGGTTATTTGTGGGTATCTTTAACTAAATCTTTCAGTTGCCTTGCAATGAATCAAAAGATAGGCACAATTTCCCATGTTTTTAACAGATTTGATTCCGTGGAGCAGTTGGTTGCACACACACACAAACAAGCACTGACGCACTGTCGGCGAACAGGAACAATTTGAATTATACACAAAACAGCCAGAATGGAAAAGTAGCGACAAGGATTTTCTGACGAATCTAGCACGATCACGTACCACCCAGGAAAACTTACCAACACCGAAACCATTGAGGAGTCAAGCTTGCACAAACTCTTGATGTTAATAGGAAATAGAGACCTCAGGAAAGGTTAGAAACAAATCAAATATATGTTGGTAGAGTGAGGCAATTTGGGAAACTTAATGGAGCTTTCGTCCTGTCAGTGAAGCTAATCTGTACTGAAAAGCTGCTCGCGGTTAAGTATTCAGATTAGTAACCTAGAGGTCACGGGCACCAGACTCTCCGGTGGGGAGTCTGCACTACTGCTGATTTCCAGGGCACAGTGCTTCCCGGATTTTCGGCAGTGACTGGCTTCACTTACAGGACGTAAGCTCCATTAAAATGTGTGCAGCTAGTAAACTACTGTGGCTGTTGCAAAAAGCGTGGTAACATTGTGAATGATTGATATAATGAGAATGTCTTTCATGGTAAGTGGTCATAGTTAGTTTGACCGAGAGGACTTGAATCACATACCAGTAGGTATAGCAATTTTTCGGTCAAAAAATGGCGATAAAATGGAAGAAGATACGGGCACAAATAGAAAATGGACAACAAGTGGCATTTGTATTGCCGCATAGATGAGGGCTTGGATTGGATGTCTAATTAGGCTGGATAGCACTTTTTGACCTAGAATCGTCCTGTTAGTGGAGACAAGTAAACTAACGGGAAGCGCCCGAGGCATACAAAGAAAGCCGATTATTCTTAGTCATAATCTCTTTGGTCTGCAGGGCGATAATGACTAAAATCCTGTGTGTCTACAGAGTAACGATAGGCCACAGATGTGCAACGACAGAGCTTTGGCTACTGGTTACTGCCTGGTGAGTATTGTTCACGCTAACATTAATCAGCTGGTTTGTTCCTCCTCACCAGCCCTAAGTGACCTTACAAGTATATTCTGACTGGGTGCCGCCACACATTGCGGATGCCTGCAAGGTTTCATCTGACCAGCTTACAGTCACTTGCCAGACAGTCGGCCTCCATTTTATATCGCGCACAATCCGGGTTATAGCAGCATGAATTACAGATGAACTGTAATACAGCAATGTAAAATACAGCAAAGTAAAACAATACAGTCACAATAGGGATGAAAAGCTCGTAAACCAAACAGAGGCCCTCAATGACCTCCATAAGCTTGGACAATCGGGCATCCACGGACGACATCAAGAACTGTCCACAATCACTGTAAAAATGGTTTATGTACTCAGACAGACGGTGACGCTGGGTTATTTGTGAGTATCTTCAACTAAATCTTTCAGTTGCCTTGCAATGAATCAAAAGATAGGCACAATTCTCAATGTTTTCAGCAGATTTGATTCCGTGGAGCAGTTGGTTGCACACACACACAAACAAGCACTGACGCACTGTCGGCGAACAGGAACAATTTGAATTATACACAAAACAGCCAGAATGGAAAAGTAGCGACAAGGAATTTCTGACAAATCAAGCACGATCACGTACCACCCAGGAAAGCCTACCAACACCGAAACCATTGAGGAATCAAGCTTGCAAAAACTCTTGATGTGAATGGGAAATATAGACCTCAGGAAAGGATAAAAACAAACCAAATATGTGTTGGTAGAGTGAGGCGGTTTTGGAAACCTAATGGAGATTTCGTCCTGTAAGTGAAGCTAATCTGTACTGAAAACCTATTCGCGGCCGAACGGTTAAGTGTTCAGATTAGTAACCTAGAGGTCACGGGCTCCAGACTCTCCGGTGAAGATTCGCACTACTGCTGATTTACAGGACACAGTGCTTCCCGGAATTTCATCAGTGATCGGCTTCACTTACAGGACGTAACCTCCATTAAAATATGTGTGCAGCTAGTAAACTACTGTGGCTGTTGCGAAAAGCGTGGTAACACTGTGAATGATTGATATAATGAGAGCGTCTTTCATGGTAGGTGGTCATAGTTAGTTTGACCGAGAGGACTTGAATCACATACCAGTAGGTATAGCAATTTTTCGGTCAAAAAATGGCGATAAAATGGAAGAAGATACGGGCACAAATAGAAAATGGACAACAAGTGGCATTTGTATTGCCGCATAGATGAGGGCTTGGATTGGATATCTAATTAGGCTGGATAGCACTTTTTGACC